TGAACGCTCGGCTCGAGCCAAATCTGGCACGGGCCTGATTAGGCTCGGGCCAAAAACGTCCGTGTGAACGCGCCTATAACTTCCTTCCAGACGAAGACTAAAATGACGTCACTCACCACTCTCTTATTTTTATCTTTGCTCGTGAATATCGCGTAGACTCGCCACGTCTTGCTGAATAGTCCGCCGAACGCCATAGTGAATCCCATCGACAACAGCCAAGCTCGACACTGAAAAACAACGCGAACGAGAAACTGCCATAGTCAGACGAAATCGAGTTTTCGCGTGACGCCTTGCGAAAACAGCGAACGAACGAATGAACGAACCAAATAAAATAGAATCCGAAGATGTATGTATTATATTTATGGTCTTACTTTGCCAGCAGCAAGTTGATGGCATTCTTATGACATGGCAATTTCTCTCAATTTCCAGAGCAACAGCTAACTGAGCGGGTCAATACGAGGTGTGCTATGTTGGTCATGCCGCAAAGGTAGCATTATTGAAATTTACTATATTATTACGCAATTATATACTAGGAATTTTTCGCAACAGCTTGTTACATGCTATTTGAATGCGACGTCCCCGAGTTGAAAGTTACAAAATGAACGGAGATTTAATTGACAGAGTACGTTGAGAGAGATTCGTTACTCAGTTCGTATATGAACCGATCGAACGCCACAGTGTTTCTCACAACGATAACATGGCATTTTTTTTATTTATACTCACGGCGCAAACAACTATGAGTCCGTCATTGCTTTTTACTAGGTTCCTGTCTGTGCCGAACGCGACGACTGACGTGTAACATAGAATGCATCCAACGGCTATGATGTTATTTACACGTGGACTCGACATCTTTATAACCCTGATAAATACACGATCCATGTTAGAACTGCCGATGCCAAGCGTGAAAAACATTCAAAATTTAAAATGAACAACAATAGAAATGGTTTAGAAGCTAAAGCTGAATTTCTACTTAAATCGTGACCGTGACGGGGCACAATTTCGGTGTTTCAAGATTGTGTACTTAATCTTACCTACACGCGTGTGAAAATCAAGGGTCTTCATCGGATTACGTTCATATCGAGTTTTTTGTTTAAGAACTGTAATTTTCAAGACTTATTAACGACGAAGTGTATTTTTTCGCTCCTTAATCTTCCCGATAGGTGTCCGAACTGTAGACAATGTTCCGATACCGCACGCCAAGTTGGGTTGTTTTTCGGATAGTATTAGAATGCGACTCATTTCAATTCTTTTGTCAAGGCATTTTACATAAATTCACTGGTATTTGATAATAATTATTTGCATTAGTAACCCCAGAAATTAACTTTAACAACCATAACTTTTAATTTTTGAGTCCCATTTAAAGCTGTTTTAACAGAAAGTTAACGGAAAGTGGCCACTTTACCATGGTTTGTGCGTATATTCGTTTTGACATTATTAGACTAATAAGTTCAATAATTACTTTTTTACACTTATTCGAATCATTGTTTGCGTATGCAAAGTGATCATGGTAAGACCATTAGCTTGAAAAATATACCGAATTATTTGTCTTGGTGAACATCAAACACACGCAATAAATATTCGGACACAGTGGTTTCAGGCAAATTCGTACCAGTGTGAGTAAAATTCACAGCAGCTCTGCAGTCGTTCGCACATATGTATGTCAAACGTTCGATAAGACCGTTATTGCTAATAAGAGGTGTTCCGACCACGCTCATGCATATACTCAGCGTCCTCACTTTTCGTGTCTGTTCTTGATGTTAATCACCAGCACCACCAATGCAAAGACGATGCCGCATATTGCGAAGACGGACAGCGTCAAGAAGAGTTCAAACGAGACGCTCCTCAACTCTTTGTACTTCATCACGGAGTCTCTTGGCGGTGCGCGAGGATCCGGGCCTAAGACGTATACGTGATGGCTTGATTAGAATTTCAGGAACTATCGTGATATTGACGTTCGATATCGTGACTGGGAACAGCTCTATAGCTCTAGCTCTTCGTCTCTCATTCGCTTTCGTGCCATCCATCACACGCCCTCCCTCGCCATCTCATCTTTTCTCTATCTTTCTATCTCTCTATCTCTCTCTCTCTCTATATATATATATATATATATATACATATATATCGTTCTCTCGTGCTTATCCATCTTTCTTTTATCTTTCGCTCCGCTCTCTCGCTGCCTATGGGATTAGAAAGATAAACGTAAACGCTCAAACGTTCATCTATTGTTGCAACGCAAACAGAATCGATCGATCGATTCATCGAGCAAACAGATCGAGCCGATCAAGACACGTTGGATATAGAGTGTGATATGCGTCTACTGTTTCTTCAGAGACGTGTTAGACACAACTTTACACACTATAAGCACGAGAGAAAATTTAACCGTAGGTAACATATAATATAACATTAGAACACACAACGGGGGCTACACACACGCGCGCGCGCGCGAATGTACGCACAAACGGACGGACGCACACGCGCACGCATACACGCGCAGTCTATT